CCCGGACTGGTCCGTGCCTCCCCGCGCTGCTTTCCCGCCGTCAGCATGAAGGTCGAGTTTGCCCCCATCAACGTCCCCCTAAAGAGGAGGATCCAGACAGTCGCCGTGCTACAGTGGATCTTCTCCTTCCTCCTGCTGGGTAACTGCCTTCTTCATTCCTGCCCTTGCCCCAGAGAGAAAAGGAAAAAATCTGCTTTTTTTTTCCTTGACCAGCGTCACCTGTGGGCATCGATCGATCTGTGTCACCCTGTGGTTCCACCCGGGAGGAGAGGCGTCAGTGTGGCAAGCTGTTCTCTGGTTATCCCTGGGTGGGCAAGACCGTCACACTTCTGGGCTCAGGCCTTCTCTTCCCTGAAAACTTCAGATGGCTTTTTCTCTTCTTTTGGGGTCTGTTTCTTACTGTGAGTTCTCTTTCAAATATGATCTTAAAAAGCTAGTGGCTGCATCTTCTCATTGAGATGCCTGCTAGGTTTCTGACAACTCACAACAGCATAAAGGCTGGTATGTGACTAATGCTGTTTTCATTACTGATTTTGTAAAATAACTTCATGTACTGTAGTTCAATAAAATTATCTTTTAACTAGGTGACCAAAATTACTAAGGATCGACACTGGACTGGCTTAAATACAGCCACTTCTGTAAATTTATGAAAAATGTCCTCACTTGCTTTAAGAAAGCATTCCTAACAATTTTGCTTCGTAAACTTTTTCTGCTAATTATTCTTCTATAGTGAATTTTCCTAATATCTTAATGGACTCCTATCACTAAACATCTATTCACAGCAGGAAATCTATTCTCATGGGTTGTTATCTTGAACTTGACAAAATGAGTCACTTGATAAGGTAAGCTAAGCCTTAGCTCTCTGGGACCAGATCTATGGATTATGTAAATTACCAAGCAGTTATTGAATAGTCTGTTTGGAACAAAACTGTTCTGAGGTGTGGAGCGACTGACTACCTGTGCGTTACTGGAAATGTTGGAATGTTTTATGATCTTTAATGCTTTAGGGCTTACAGGGAGAAAAGAATGTGTGCATATCTTCCTTGAATGTCTTGCAAATTTGGTATCATTCAGATGGTGGTCTGGTGTCTTTCAGACAATTTTTTTTGGTTGTTAGCCCACACATGAATTATTTGGGTGTGTGTGGGAAGCATGGAGGGTATGAAGCACCTTCACAGATTTATCCCTAGTACTTGGCTGGTTTATGTTACCTCTAAATTGTATGTGGTTGGATTATAAACAGTTCATGTTTGTGGCTGCATTGTAAATAGCCCGTGCTTTTAATTTTCTGTTATTGAATTAGATCTTGGCATATCCCATTATTCCAGTCTAATGATAATGCAGTGGAAGTTCAGTTACAGTGGAAGGAAACAATTTTTACCCTAGCCTGGTTGGTAACAATACTGCCGCAGAAACTTACGTCCTCCTTTGCTTACTAGAAGTGATCGGGCTGCAGAAAATGCACTCTTGCTGCAGTTCAGTGGGAGAAGTAGGCAGCTGTCTTCTGCAGCTGGCACCGCCTGGGAATAAATGTCAAGGAAAATCAACAAGGAGGTTGTTTTGTGGCTGGTTATGTTGAATATAGTGAGTGCACATTATTATGAAAAAATCTGTTTGCAAAAATGCTCGAATTTTGGTGGACAAATTGATTCTAATAATAATAATCTGCTTGTGCTTTCCTGGGGATGTTTATCTTTACAGCTATCCAAGGTGACCTTGTAATTTTGTAGGTGTACCCTTTCAGTCATAGGATAGCCAGAGTGATCTGGCCAAAAAAGTTTCACTTAGCTCCAGGAAAATTCAGATGGCTGAATCCTAAATGACTTAAAGAACTGAAAACTGGATTGGTTTCTAAGGTTCTGGATTGCTATTATGTCTGGATTTTTCAGCCTTTTTTTTTGTCTGCTGGAGCAGACAAGGTGTGGAAACATTGTGTGTAAGCTCTTGAATTCAAAAGTGACACTTTCAAATCATGCAGGGGATGCCCTGGTACAAGTGAAATACTGTGTGAATTCATCACAGGGTAAGTTGGAGGGGTAGGTGTTGTTTGGGGGTTGGTATATGGCTGGATCTAGTTTATACCAAACAAGATTTTCTGTAGATTCAATCTTATGTAAAAATATCTGCATGTGAAAACATGAACAGATAACACCATGTGATAACTAATGATTCATATTATAGGGATTCTGTTTAGAGCAGTGAGTAAATAGGGCTTAGTTGCTAAAGCTGTCCATCTAGGCATGTGGTGAGGTGCCATAGCTTAATAAAATGGACCAATAGGACTAACAGATAAAGTAAGAGAACTCTAAAAATTAGTGCTCTGAAAGACAAAAGCTGAATTGGGTAATAGTGATATCCTTTAAATCTGGGGAGCAACATGTGAAAACGTGATTTAGCATGCAGAGTAAGAGGTAAGGGGAACATGAGTCTATTGCAACTCAGAATCCATAATGTGACTTGGACAGAAGACTCTGAAAATCAAGCATCGGTTTTATCTTCGTGGCTGAGATCCTTAAGAGTTACTGCATTTAATGTTAAAAGTACATTGTGTTGGCCTTTGCCCCTCGCTCTCCAGGGTTGCTTGGGTGTAATGCTGCAGGGTTTTCTGAGAGTGTGGGATTGATTGAAAGTGCCCTCTTGCTTGTGTGACTAAAAGCTACTCACAAGTTAGCCCAAAATACATATATGCAATAGTTGCTGAAGACTCTGAATCTCATCATCGCTTGTGGGGTTTCATTCCTCTTGTGAGACCCCTCCTGGAGTACTGTGTCCAGCTCTGGGGGCCCCAGTACAGGAGAGACATGGAGCTGTTGGAGCGAGTCCAGAGGAGGCCACGAAGCTGACTGGAGGGATGGAGCACCTCTCCTGTGAGGACAGGCTGAGAGAGTTGGGGCTGTTCAGCCTGGAGAAAAGGCGGCTCTGGGGAGATCTAATTGTGGCTTACCAGTACCTGAAGGGGCCTACAGGAAAGCTGGTGAGGGACTGTTTATCAGGGAGTGTAGTGACAGGACAAGGGGTAATGGGTTTAAGCTGAAGGAGGGTCGATTTAGAGTAGATGTTAGAAAGAAATTCTTTACTGTGAGAGTGGTGAGGCACTGGCACAGGTTGCCCAGAGAGGTTGTGGATGCCCCATCCCTGGCAGTGTTCAAGGCCGGGTTGGATGGGGCTTTGGGCAACGTGGTCTAGTGGAGGGTGTCCCTGCCCATGGCAGGGGGTTGGAACTAGATGGTCTTTAAGGTCCCTTCCAGCCCAAACCATTCCATGATTCTATTGTAGAAAGAGCAAATCAGCCAGCAAATACTGAACAAATAGCTACAGTAGCACTGTACAAACAAGAAAGTTCTGCTTCTTCGCTCAGTGTATGGGCTTGGGCTGGGTCTGCACTACACATACATTGCTTCTGCTGTAGAGTGTAGACAGAGTAAACATGCCTCTGCCTCAAAAAGCTGTACAGATGTGCACAGAATTTCATTACGTACAAAAGGAACCTCTTTAAAATTCCAAGTGTAAGTTCTTGTGCTTCCCTGCTCTGTACTGCAAGCTGCCAAAGTTCGCCCTCAAGCAGAAAAGACAAGTTTTCATTGTAGCAGTGGTTCTTCTGTTGGTTATCCAGGGGCATGACACCACAAGCAAAACTGAGTTCTAAAATAATCTGATCTGTATTTAAGAGCTTCTGGATTAGACTAGAGAAATGACCATCTAACAGTTTCCCACCTTGTGCCAGCTGAAACGGTCATATAGTTTCCTTTCTTACTGTGCTCGCAATGCAGCTGGCTAAAACACTTTACTTAAAGTTCCATGAAAAAGAAAAGTCTTTTAAATGGGATTCTGTCTTTTAAAAGAAAAGCAGTATTAGCTTGGAGTCTAGAAAACTAAAGCTATGAAAACTGAAAAACAGGAAACTCTAAAATGATGCTGTTTCTTGCTGTGTTAAGCAGAAATCCAAAACAGCTTCAGGCTGAAGCATAATTTCAAGTCATTATTGTTTCATTGCTGAAATAGCAAATATATGAAGTTTTGCAATTTTGGAGTACCTACTTTGGAAAAAAAAAAAAAGCTGAAACGGACAATTTCGATAGATGTAGTTTTATGCCTGTAATTACTGTTGCTAGAGGTTCATCCGCTTGGCCAGGGGCTGACAGTCCTGAGGCAGGTCTGGTCCTGTTCCAAGCTGGTGCAGCCCCCACATCGTGCCTGCCTCTGAAGCTGTGCGCTGGTATCTGCTTGTGATCTCGCTGTGCCGTTGTCCAGCGCAACCGCAGGCAGAAAGTCACCTGGGGAAATGAAATCTCCAAGCCTGCAAGTGCTGGGGGCAAGAGCAAAGAGGTTACATCGCTCCCGTTTTTGTAGTGTAGGTTTGACGGTACATATACACAAAAGAAACGGTCACCATTGATGAATGCAACAGGTGTCACTGGTGTTTAGCATGAAATTTTTGGTTTTAAGCTTGAAAATCTTTGTCTTTTTGACTGAATTGGTTTTGCTGCAGTTAACAGTATGTCTGATATCCTCCTGTGAGGAACCAGCGTAGGTTTTCTGTTTCTCACACAGTAATTGGGCAGTGGTTTACCTTGGTGTGTAAGCGTGCTGCAGGGGTGAGCAGTGTGCCTCAGTACTGCACTCTGAGTGAGGTTCAGTTTGTATCAGGAGGTGATCGGTACCTACGCAGCAGGTAGATCAACAGGGTTCTTTTCAAGGCAAAACAATTTAAACAAAGAAAAATCAATGAGATTTGGTTTAAGTGCTGCTTTGCATGTGCTTTAGCCTTTTGTTTCCCTTCCTCTCTAATGTACACAAATTAAATGACAGTGTTTTTTTTTAGAGAAAATATAGGTAAAAGGTGAGTGGGTGAGCTTCTCTTCTGCCAACTTCTGTGCATTTGATGTGAAAAGATACAGTGGAATTTGAGCATGCACAAAATCAAATACAGACCTGGGTAACTTGGGTGGAGCGGTGGTATCTTGGTCCAGACGAGGAGAGATGGAAATGAGAGAGACTTTAACCCTATGACAAGGATACCGGGATTTTGTTTTGAGACAAGGTGGTGGTAGAGGAGAATGGTGCATCTTCTATGGCTCAATGGCACACTGGTCTTCTCCTTACTGAGGACCTAGGAAGTGACTGTTAATGCATGCACCC